GCACGAGGTCCCAGACCTGGGGAGCCCCGTGAGGGCCTCCCTGGGGGCGCAAGGGGTTAAGACGCAACCTATGAGCTGTCCGCAGCCTCTGCAGCACAAGATACCCGCCGGCCAGGGAGCTACCCAAATGGCGCCGCAGACCTCTCCTGTCTCCCCGCTGCTCCCCTCAGCAGTGTTTTCAGTGGATCTGCCTGTTCTGCTCCCCACTCTGTCTTTGGTGAATCCTCTCACCCCCCCCCCCCCCCCACCCCCGCACCTCTGGCCTGTACCCAGCTCTTGTATGCATAAATAAATAAATCTTTAAAAAAATATATATTTTCTCATTAGTGTGACACCATCCAGAAAAAAAAAAAAAAAAAAAAAAAAGAAACTTAAACATTTCCCTTTTTCTCTAAGGATCCATTATTTCTTTTTTCTGGTGAGATTTGAATATTCCAATATGTCTTTTTTTATATTTTGACAATTGCAAACATTTACTGAGTACTTCTCACACGTGTTAAGTGTCTTAAGCTTATTGTTTAATTCTTCTCAGAATGAACCTATGTAAAGTAGGTACTATTATCTTCATCATTTGTAAAGGTAAATGAATTAAGGCAGTCAATCTACAGTGGAAACTAACAGACTTGTGTTCAAGACTAGGTCTGACTATCTGAATTATGTGCACATTTTATTAATATAAATGCTACACTACATCTCAGAATAAATATCTTAATTCATAAGCAACACAAAATACTTAAATTTCAGTTGTGGCAAAACTAGTAACTGTTCATGTGCACACAACTATACTGAATTTTTCAGTAGTCATGTGCTAGCCAAAAGATTGGAAGTGGAATAAATTTACCATTATTAAACAAAGGCTTTTAAAAAATCAAATGTGCCTATTTGCATTATTTATCCCATTCCTTTCGCTGAATCAAGACAGGTTCTAGGATATGAGAGTTATAGGTGATACAACCTTGAGTCACTGGATACCTGAATCTGCACAAGATTCAGCTCATTGAAGGAGAGAGCACATGAGAGAAAGCTCATACCTGATTACTATATTGGCCAGAAATAAACATTTATCATAATGAAGGCATTTACAGTTCTATTTTTTTGTATGAAGATCTAGTCTACCCAATACACCAAGTTCTATTGCTTGTAATGGTCACAATAACTATATTTTCCCATAACCCAAGTTGACAGACTATGTTTGGAATATTCATTTCTCCCAATGATGCAGATTTTCTCTTTATTTATCTTTATTTCATTATTCCTTCTAGTCAATTTTAAATGAATTGTGTTCAAATGTTTTGTGATATGGTGTAAAAAAAAAAATTGACAAAGAAAGGTAGGGAGGAAAAAAGGAATGTGGGAGGAAGGGAGGGAGTGAAGGAATGAAGGAAAGATAAACATAAATAGTGATGGAATAGGGAAGAGGAAAGTAAGTTAGAAACAACAATATCCCATGGAATATAATCAAGAAACATAAAAAGTACTGTGGGTTTGTTAATCCAAACCCCATTGCCAATTCCTTCCTCTTTGCCTCTCTCTACTACAGGGTCATAAAAGACTAAATATTTCTTTGCTCATATTCATTTGAAGCTACTACTTCAGATGGCACTGAATCATAAGCAGGAATCTTCTGGGTTTTTCTGGGAAATATTTTGCACTTTGCATGAAAAGGACAGCTGTAACTGCACTGTTCCCTCTTCCTTCTCTCTTCCATAAATAGAATTGTGATATCTGGATTTAGGACAACTGTCTTGTAACCGTGATGTGAGAAGTCTGAGAAAAACGAAGAGAATCCTGAAGATGCAACTCAGACATTACTCACGTGCTGAACACAACCCAGAAGCATCCTGCCTCCAGGCTTCTTTGGTGAGAAAAAGAAATCCCTAATTTTCAGCTAGGAAACCATCATATTGAATAGGGAATATTAAAATAAATACAGGCCTTGATGGGTACACTTAAGAGACTGAGAAGGTAAAGAACAGGGACTCTGGAGGTGTCTAGGATGGTGTCATGAGACAGAAGGCCTGTTTGGAGGGTTGATTTGTTTCTTTTTGGAGCATATTGATCTCAAGGCACAGGTAAGTCTTGAGATATAAGAAAAATGTGGGCATACATAGCAATTTGCAAAAATGGGAGTAGACTTTTAGCTTTCCTTTGGCAGTGAGAGTTGAATTGTGATAGTGATTTATGTCACAAGGGATAGTAATGCAAAGGACAAGGGACATTGTTTACTTTTAATGGGTGTAGAAAAGGAGAAATGATTAGTAGCAACAAGTAATAGTATTTGAAAGATATGGAAATATGGAAGTAAGGCAGAGCTCCAAAATGGTGGGTTGCCCACTATTACACAAGAAAGTATCAGTGTTAGTAGGTGATTTCAAAGACAAAAAATGAAAATGTCACTTCAAACTGATGCCTCTTTTTATGTGGTGGTCTTCCCTTGGAATGTCATTCTCTCACCTACCCCTATTTTTTCAGTTTTCCTTGACTTCTCCTATTTGTTACCATTTCAGACCCTTTCCTCAACTAAAAAAAAAACAACCACATGATAAATCATGTTATTCAAAACCATAGTAAACTGATTTTTTTAATGGAAGTAGTTTTCATTTTTGAAGATCAGTGAAAATCTTATACACTGTAATACTGAAAATAAAAGAAACAAAATTACTGCTGCATCCAACAAGATTGACTCTCATGAACATACTAGTGAACAAATAAGCCAAACAAAAATATTAATCCATAAAGTTCAATGATGGACAAAGCTACTAAGCATTATTAGAAGTTAAGAGGTTGGTACATTTGCAACAGATGCAACAGACAGAAACTGGGAGAAAACACAATTGAGGATTCTGAATACTATTAAGTGTTCTGAAAGTCTCTTCATTTAGGTGATGGTTGTAAGTGTTCAAAATAACTCATCAAGTCACTTATGATCTATGTTTGTTTTGGTATGCATACATGCAGTTAATGAAAATAAGTGTCATAATCCTTGTCCCCACATCTCTATACATGATTTTGAAGTTGCCATTTCAAAATCTGCCTTACTGACTTTCATTGCTCCATCTCTAAATCATTTTTGGTTTTCCCATAGTTCATTTCTGGAAAACTTTCCTCCTTTTTATCTCAGTCATTCCCAACATTGATTCTCTTATGCTTTTTGCTCTTAGAACTTCCTGTCTCTTTCTTGACTGACATCTTTAATATTCTCTCTGCCTCTCTCTTCAGCTTTATCTTAGCAGACCACCCAAGACAACTAAGTTCCCATATAAAAGGCATTTCCTCAACCTCCATTGAGAATAGGAGAATTCTCCAGCAGGGGTATAACCATTCGGTAGAATAACTTTGATTAAGGATAAACTTAAGCCTGTTGTATCACCATTTCACTCCCAAAGTATCCATCACTTTGGAGCAGTTATATTTTGATGGAATTGTTCATTCCTACCATCCTTTATTTGACTGAAAGCTTCATGAGAATTCATTCAGTAGACACTAAAATTTTTTAAGTGAAAGAAAACTACAAAGTACTGAGAAAATGGTTTTAGCAACCAGTGTAGTTAGAAATGAAAATTACATGTAACTCCTTAGTAAACAAATTTCTTTTGCCTTTTAATGGGAAAAAAAGAAAAAGTGCATCTGAGCCACTTTCTATAACTTCATGTTGGTTAGACAGTAGAAGAGGGGAGGGAATCAGCACTTAGCAGCTGCATGTGTACAACCCAATATACGCTTTATATTCTTCACTTGCATACTGAATTTATAAAATGGATCTTATCCCAAATTAACACTTTTGAAAACAGAGATTCAGAAAAGTCATAAAAGTTGCCTGAGATGGTGTAACAGCTAAATGACCTCGCCAAAATTTGAACCTCAGACTATGTGATGTCAAAACCCCTGGTCTTTCTTCTCAATCCTCCTGCCTTATATCTGCGAAGGTTAATGAGACATGCATGTATACTGAGGGGACAAGAGATGGCTAATCATTTGCATAAAATTTTAAAATATGATTTTTTATTGGCTTCCCTTTATTTTGGTGCTTAACATTAAATATCTAAATTAAGAAGACATTATCTTTATATCTTTTTGTAATACACCACTTTCACAGTTATCCATCAAACCAGTTGGAAGTCGTGGTTAGAAATTCCTAGAGACTGTTGATAACTGTGCTAAATTTCTTTTCATTAGTTCCATTCATTAGCTTCAATAACTGAATATATTAACTAGACCTCACACATTTATTAGTCTCATAACTTATTAATGTTCAGGAGAAAATTCCATTGTCACCTTTTTAAATACATGACTTGATTGCTGAATCAAATAGAATTGTTATTTAAGGATTTTAAATATACATGCTAATTGTTGAGTATTGCTCTCTTGATTTTCTTCCTCAGATAAATAAATATTAAAACATTTTCTTTCTTTTACAAACACTTAAAAAGAGACATGATTGCAAAGTGGTAAACAATTTAACTTTAATTTAATAATATGTAGGGGAAAACTCTCATTACAGGTAGTATAATAATTTCTCAAGATAATTAGGAACAAAATGGCTTCCTTAAAGTAAATTGTAAAACTTGATCTGCTCATAAAACTTATTAATTCTGCATCTCTCCTTCAGGTACCTAGGATTAAGTGAGACCTGAATTACATTTTGAATGAGTTGCAATATGACAAGTTACCACGGTTGAGTTTCTAGCCCTCTGGGAAGTAGTTACTGTCCTAAGTATTCTGTCTGCCTCCTGCTGACTGAGCAGCTCTGTACTGATGACATCACCTGCAGGAAGCACTGGATAGTAGATGTTGTAGCAAGGAGGTGATGTCTCAGAAGTGACAAAGAAAGGTCTAAATAGAGATGCCTAACACAAAATAGACTATAGAATTTTTTACTGTTTTTTTTCACCTCTTTAAAAATTTTTACACAGGCACAAAGCTGTCTCAGTAGATGAGCAGTTAGAATACCTCTTAGCGGAGAGATGTTCAATGAGGTGAGAAGGAGGAAATGTGCATACCTTTGCTTGTCCAGCTTTGGTGATGGCAGGGATATTAAAGAGCTGTCCAGTATAAAAATGTACCCCACAAAACAGGATCACTGCAATCGAGTCTCCTTCCTTCTCAATTATTTCAAGGATATCCTCCATTCTCAAAGTTTCTTCTCCCTAATATCAAATTAGGCACAAATTACTACCTAGCCACAAAAACTAATTTGTCACTTCCCAATCTGAAATTCACCATGAGTTCTTTCCCATCATAAGAGGAATTAAAGCTAAACTTGTTTCAAATTAATGATCTTCAAAAATGTGGCAGAAGAGCAGCATTTGAACATACTTTCTGTCATTAGGAAATAATAATAAAATAGTAAAAAGAGGTTTGTAAAGTGTAAGTCTTTGCTTAACTCTACATGCTAGATTTTTTCCTTCAGTTTTTTATTAATCTTTATTATATGAATATTTACAAAGTGTTTCCTTTTTATTTCCATCTGATAAAATGCCAGGAAGTATGATAAGACCATGGAATATTAAGTGGCAAGAGAAACTTCTTGAAAATTAGCATTTCATTTGTCAATCTAATATCATGTTATTTTTTTCCAAGGTGGAGGGGAAAAACATAGGTCTATCTTTCAGCTGACTACAACATAACCACTATTTCTATTAACTTAAGAATAAAGTTTATTCCACAGCAACCTAAAGATAAAAAACAAAATGTGAGAAAAATATAAAAAACAAAAATTCAGTATAATCGAGTTTATGATTTTCCACTGTTCCCATCAAAGACAAATGATTGGTCATTTAGTAAAAATTGTGAATGACTCTAGATTTGGTCTTGCCAACAATGTGAGAGAGGAAAAAAAAAAAACAACTGAAAATACAGCATCTCCTTGTTTTCTAACAATTCCGGTATATTTCCAAAGTCTTCATGAATTTTCTCCAGTGCTAGTCTAACATGATTTTGAAGTCAAATTATCATTAACTGTATTGATAATTGGGAGAAGACCATTAAGGTATTCATAAATATGCCTTCAGTTATTTTTATCTTTAGTATTTTTGCTTTTTGCCAATTTCTCTCTCTCTCTCTCTCAATAGATAGATAGATAGATAGATAGATAGATAGATAGATAGATAGATAGATAGATAGAAATGCATATACCAAATATATATATACTAATCAATGCCAAATGAAATGCATCCTGTACTATACTGTAGTTTGTACTAGAAGCCTGGAATTTCTTTACAAAGTAGGAATCTACAAATACATGATTGACATTGAAATTTCTGTATTATTAAATGATAAATATTTTATATGTATATAAAGAGGATTTCAGCATTTTCAGGAAAATTCTAAGTAAAATTATTATCATGGTAACACAAAATTCTTTAGTCTTAAAAGACTCTAATGTGATTGTCCACTATAACTTGAAAAAAAGTAAGAAAAGTATGATATAAACTAACAATTTATTTCTTTGAATAATTAGCATTAAGTAAACAAGTAAAATATTTTCTTAATAAAGTATATGTTATTCTCTCCTGTTAACTTGCTCTAATCTGGTTATACTTAAGTGCTCCCAAGACTGTGATTAACTCATGAGATTCCATAACACTTGTTGATTTTAACTTGTGATATATTAGTGACTATATTCATTTTGGCTGAAAGTTAGCAATTTACATATGCTATATAAAACTGATATCCTCCACAGGTGTAAGAACTTTATAGTCCATTAATTTATTACGTATTGGCAAATAGAAGTGAACAAAGTAGATTTTAGTTTTTCAAAAAATATTATGAGTTGAAAGAAATAATTGTTCAAATATTGGCTTGACAGCCTGAAAGCATCATATGTGAAACATAAAATTCATTTTCTGTGCATCTCTTGGTGCCAAATTGCCTAAGCTATATGATTAGTATGTCTAATTCTTAGCTATAAATCCCTATAAAAAATCTCTATTAATGTGGGCATCCCTCCTGGCTCAAGGGGTTAAGCACAGAACTGTGAAGCTATCTGCAGCCTCTGCAGCACGAGTTCAATCCCCAGCCAGTCAGGGAGCCACCCACTTGGTGCAGCAGACCTCTCCTATCTCGCCCGCTGCTCCCCTCAGCAGTGTATTTCGGCCAGTCTCCCTGTTCTGTTCCTCACTTTGTCTCTGGTGAATCCTCTCACCCACTGCACCTCTGGCTTGTACCCTAGTTCTTGTATGCATGAATAAATAAATCTTAAAAAAAAAATCTCTATTAATGTAAAGTATCCAGTATTTTAGATTTTGAACATACTGTTAAGCCTATTTAGTTGCTTCCTTTGTTAGCTGTTTAAATAAAAAGAGATCTCAAAAATGAACTAACTTTTTTCACAAGTCATATACCCAGTAAGTTGGTGGGTCCAGAATTCTCTGGAGTATGGCAGACAGGTTATAAATTCTAACTACTTTCTACTACACACACCCCTTTCTATACTGCAGTCTAACCACACACATACATCCACACACATTAACATTAACACACACAAAATGATATTTAGATTAAAACTGAGAGATAAAAGATAGGCATCATTCAATTTCAATAATTATCACAACATTTTACCATTATTTCATTGGCATCCATCGTTAATGATATTTGAAATTGAAAATTATATAAGCAATTTGCCATCCGACTCATCCCATTGATGAACACGACATATTCCCCATATTAATGGGGGAATAATTTGCTTTTCTTTTGACTCATCCTTGAAATATGAAAATAAATATACTTCTATGCTAATTCTTTATTTTCAGCAAAATGACCTAACAGGAAGAGAAATAAAGGTCTTTTATATTTTCCTCGAAATTCCATTAAAGTAATGAAAATAATAAACCTTTGAGGAGAATGAAAAAAAATCAATACTAAATAGAATCTTGATGAATATTTATTTCTCTTTCTTATTTACCTCTCTTGGCTTGATGAGGCGCATGCTCTTTTCAACATTTAGTCCATGAAGTTGAAGCTGTGATTCAACAGCATACTGGAAAAAAGAATGATTCATTAAATCAAGTTCAACGCACAGAATTACATTTGTAGAAAAACTCCGAAAAGAAATAATAATGTAACAATAAATGCATATTGTTATATTATATCAAATGTTAAGGTAAAAAATTACTGAAAAAAGTATTTCAGAGAAGAAATTCTTAGCATAAATTATAGGCAGGAATCTGAACATTTCTTGAACATTAAATATTAGAGCTTCATAGAAATGGATTGCTCATCTAGGAGTATAAGGGTTTTGAAAATAAGATATAAAATCACCTAATCTAAGTCAAAACAGTTTACAAAACAACCAAAGTGAGTAGTGTGAACTTAGGTATTTGAACATAGGACATAGAAATGGCCTAACATTAGAAACAGTTAAATTGATAAAAGGACCTCCCTGGTGGTGCAAGGGGTTAAGTCTCAGCATGATGTCATTATTGGCAGCCTCTGCAGCACAAGTTCCATCCAAGGCCAGGGAGCTGACCCACATGGTGCAACAGACCTCTCCTGTCTCACCCACTGGTCCCCTCAGCACTGTATGTCAGTAGATCTGCCGGTTTTATTCCCCACTCTGTCTATGGTGAATCCTTTCTCTCTCTCTCTCTCTCTCTCTCTCTCTCTCTCTCTCTCTCTCTCTCTCTCGCTCTCTCTCTCACACACACACACACACACAACCACACACACACACACCCCACCTCTGCCGACACCCAGCTCTTCTATGCATAAATAAATAAATCCTAAAAAAAAAAAAGGTTCCCATCATTGAGAGTACAAGATATCAATGGGAACAATCATAGGGACTTTGTATTTCTTGATGATATTATCTTTTTAGTAGGTAATGGCTTTTAATTTGGACATAATTAACTGCCTTAAAATTGCAATATGTGGGATATAATATTTCACAGAGACAATATAAAGACCTCTCCTGCCACGTCTGCTGCTCCCATCAGCAGTGTATTTCATCAGCCTGCCTGTTCTGTTCCCCACTCTCGCTCTGGTGAATTCTCTCACCCTCCCGCGCTTCTGACTGTACGCAGTGCTTGTATAAATAAATAAATTAAAAAAAAAGTTTTCAATAATAAAGCATAAATAACTATGCTAGCATGCTATGAAAAGAAGTAGACAAATAAAAATTTTATATTGCTATTCTAGTTGCTAAAGGGTTAAGCACTAGGGTGTACACTGATTTGATTTCATAAAACAGAACAACAAGAATTAATAAAACATTTATAACTGCATTTGATTTAGACCAGAGGTTCACTCACTGTCTTTAGGGCTAATAAATCAATGTTCCTATTCAATCCTTTCTTCCCGTAGCATATATTTTACTTGAACAAAAGAAATAAAGCTCCAATCTATAAAAAATGCCTAAATCAAAAGCATTTGACAGATCTTTTTATTGTAAAGTTACTTAGGAAAAAAATAGTGAATAAACATCCAAGTCAAGCAAATGATATGTTCCTCGAGGAAGAATAGAAAGAATATAAATATAATTTGAAGAATCCTTACATGATCTGAAGGGAAGGCTTTAGCTTCTAGAAGAATTTTATACCGTTTTGGTGTCGGCTTAAAAAATGATAACTGCAATGAAATGGATTTATTGAAAAAGCATTAACACAATTTATACATTTGTTCATTTCCATAGCTTCATTTTATAATCTCCAGCATTTTAAAGGTATTAATTAATTACAACTCAAGATGTCTGTCTAGGGTACCTTTTTCAATTAGCCTTGTTGCCAATGAATTATAAAGAGGAAGAACATATTGACTCATTATGTTTATCAATGGAAAGTAAACTCAGGAGAAAATGGGAATCAGATAAAAACAAATACTCAAACTTTACTTAAATTTTAATTGAAAAATTATCTTCCCATATATTTAATGGCAATTTCTCTATTGTGGGCTAAAACTATCATGTGTTATGTATATCTTATTTATATAGATGTATCTTGCACTGCTGATTTGGCTTCTAGTACAAAATATTTCCATTGCTTTATTATTTTAGGTCCAACCAAAAGTACCTTACCTATAACATGACACAAATGACAATTCTAAAGACTCCAAGGAGAAATGCCTCATTCCTTCAGTGGAGCCCTTTCATTTCTCTCCATAGTTACTGGAGAATAAATATTGACTCATAGTAATAACAATAAAAATCACCACTACAGTTAATTATGAGTAGAACTTGGGCCAGGTTGTTTAAGTCATTTCTACATATTATAGTATTTTATAATTGTCCATACCTATGGAGTAAATGTTATTGAGCCCATTTTTACAGAGGTAAAAATTGAGATTTAGAAATGCCAATTCAAATAGATATTAAATAACTGATTTGGGAGTCAAACCCAGAGGCATCTGAACTTAAAATTATATTTAACTTTACATTTAACATACTCCCTAAGTATGTCCCGAAGATGTTTAATAGCCATCTCCCCATTTTATTAAAATATTAATATTTTCATTGTACATTTTGGTGTTGGATTTTTAAAAATTCACTAAAAATGAAATTAATTTATTTTTAAAGTATCAAGCAATTACTATAAGTGCCATATGCCAAATTGAAAATATAACATATAAAGATATTAATATTTATAATGTATTTGGGATGTAAGAAGCAGTTGAAACACAGAAACTTATTTAGGGTACTACATACCTTTTCTCCAATTTAGTTTTATTTTCTAATTTTTTAAAATTACTTTCCAAAAATCAATCTGCAAAGGCATGTTGATTCATAATCCCACTCTGCTGAAGTCCAGCATCTTGGAAAATTCTTACTGAAAAGCTCAGTGCTTTGAAGCATTTGTACATCACTGTTTTGTGTGCTTGCAAGCAGTTTTGCTTTTCACCCACTGGGACTCTTACTCCTTATGTTTAAAGATAAGAACATTTCCTTACTCTAAAACTTTTTGGAAGAGTCAATTCTCCCATAATTATTAGAAGACATTTATTCTATCCTGGTCTAGGATTTCCTGGTAAAAATGAAAATAACCTTACAGCATTTTTAAATAAGTAAATCACCCAATGCTCATGAATTAAAGATAGAAAAATGTCAGATTCTATAAATGAGTGTATACTAAATATTGGTGGGAAAGGAAACTTACCAGTAGAAGATGTAAATTAACAGTCAAAGCATTCATTAGGACTATTTCTTTCTCACTGGCTCCTACAAAGTAAACATATAATAGTTTAGCTGTTTCTATTAGTCCTAAAGGTAATTAGAAAAACAAAGCTGGGAGACTTCACTCTTTCATCCTTAGAGCTTTTAGAAATTAGGGCATGCTTGATTGGTCATCACAAAGAAATGGACCCTTTTTTTCCCCCTTGGCTCATTTTTTCAATGATATGTGGACACACATCACAAAGTGAGCTTAAAATTTTATTTCTCTTTCGATGTAATAAATAATAACAACAAAATAACGAAGCATTTGCTTTTTCCTGTAAACTAAACAAGATTTATATTATCAGCTAGTTCACTAAATTCCCACAGAGCATATTTTTGTGGTAAGTGTATCTCCAAAAGGAATCTAAAAAGATATTAAGGCCAATCACATTTTTAAAGCTGGTTGTTTCTAATGTCAAATTAAAATGCACCTTTAATAAAAGAAGGCTATTTTGTCAACAATAATTCACAGTTATTATGGGGAGATATAGAATCGTTTACAAGGTGAAGAGTTAGAAAGCAAAACACAAAGGCCTACAGAGCTCTGGGGCTTATTCAGATGCACTGAAATATAAGATAATTAATATAGATTATGTATTGTCTGATGAAGAAAACATACAAAATTAAGATATCCACTACACAGTCATAATCAGACCTAATTCTTATTAATGAGGGTTTGGTCACTAGAAACAAGCTCAGAGACACAAAGCAGACATCTAACACTTAACTCAGTGCATAATAACAATAATAACACTTGCCCTGTTTCTAGTTTTGTATGATGTTTCTTAAAGGCAATTAGACTTGTATATTGGAATGATGTCTGCGTAGCATCACTGAGAAATATGTGCTATCTGCCTGAATGTCATTAAACTGTTCTAGGTGCTAGTAAATATAGATAGTACCAGTCCTAAATCCTACACACAAAGAAATACTTCTGAAAGAGTCTCATTATAAAAAGAACAGACAACTAAGTAGAATAATTAATTTAATTAACAAATATATTTCAGTATACATTCATTTAAGGGGAAGGCATTGGAAATAAGTGTGTAATTTAGGAATTTCTGTTTCTGAAAATCCATTTAAGGAAGACCCATATCTTCATTAGTCAAGAAAAATGCCTTTTGCAATTACCACCTGTTTTTCTGTGCTTTATATGCAAAGCCTTTCAATAGATGCTTGTGTAAAAAGATTTATTTCTGGTCACTATAAGGTGAACAGTGTTTGAAATCAAAGAGCAATATAAACAGCCACATTCTTGGGACCTCCCTGGTGGCACAGGGGTTAAAGTCTCAGTGCTATCAAACTATTGCCAGCCATTGCAACATGCGTTCTATCCCCTGCCAGGATGTAACCTAGGTGGCAGAGCCAACCTCTCCTGTCTCGCCTGCTGCTCCCCTCAGCAGTGTATTTCAGTAGATCTGCCTGTTCTGCTCCCCACAGTGTCTCTGGTGAATCCTCTCATCACCTCCCCTCCCTCAGGCCTACACCCAGCTCTTGTATGCATTAATAAATTAAAAAAAAAACCACATCCTACATTCCTAGCACTAGGTAAGATTTCTCCTCAACAGACTCAATAGCTATGAATACGATAAATTTAAACCTTCTCCTACAATATAAAAATATTTTTGAAATATGGTTTAAAATGCTGGCAGCTTTTTGTTTTTGTTGCTTTGCATTATGGTATGAATTTTTGCTGTCATTTCTAAAACAAAATATTACCTAAGATATCTAATATATTGTCTTTAACTTTCTCTTAGTTATACACATTTTCTGAAGTCTATTTCAATGAGAAATATTTTGGCAGGAGAGGAGGGAAAATTAATATAAAGAAAGAACAGAATTATTAGAAGAGGAAAACTTTGAAGGAATGTAATGAGGAAAAAAAGAGAAGAAAGCATAAGTTAGTTATCACAAAATGAAGACAAAGAAATGACAGAAGCAAGGAGGGAAAATCTTCTATAGAAGTTCAGATATCTATTTTTGCTAATGATTACTTTCAGATTAAAATGATATTGGATTGCTCTGATATTTTAGTTCACTAAACAGTGCAGTTCACTTTAGATCAACAAAATTTTTCTTGTGGGAAGATGATGAACCAGATATACTAGTCTGAATTAACCTAGTCATACATTTGACATTGTGATTTCCTGCCCTTCCTTTCAAAAGCACACTAACACTTGGATCAATCCTTTGTAAACAATCCCTCACTGACTTGAATAATTTGTCTGCCCAATAATTTGGAACACTTTAAATTAAATTAAACCAAGCACTCCACAAAATGCCCTCCTCACCTGCTACTGAACTCTGTGAAGGACAGAGTCAGTCTGTTTAATATGTGTTCATGCATACCCATGTCTATAAGCAGATGGTGCTAATGTGAAAGTTACAGAACATTGATAGAAATGCTTATTCCAAATATCTCTTAAAGGCACTGAAAAAAATCAAGCTTTCTTAACAACAAAGAGTCACAAAACAGACAGATGTTTACTACTTTTTCAAAAGAAAATATACCTAACTGGCTTATCTTCTGAGGCAAATTTTTACTTCTGAAACCAAAATTGTTCTTTTAAGATAATTCAGTATCATCAATATTCCATGAGAAAATAAATTTTTGGGGGGGTCTTCTTGGTGGCGCAAGGGGTTAAGCACCGCACTATGAAGCAATCTGCAGCCTCTGCGGCACAAGTTTGATCCCCAGCTGGCCAAGGAACAACCCACATGGCGCAGCATGTCTTGCCCGCTGCTCCCCTGTCTTGTCCACTGTCTTGCCCACTGCTCCCCTCAGCAGTGTCTTTCAGTCAGTCTGCCTGTTCTGTTCCCCACTCTGTCTCTGGTGAATCCTCTCACCGCTCCCTCCCGCATCTCTGGCCTGTACCCCAGCTCTTGTATGCATAAATAAATCTTAAAAAAAAAAAAAGAAAAAGAAAATAAATTTTTAACAATGCAAATGGAAGTTTAGTCAAGTTGTGTTTTCTTTGCTGCTTTTCTTTTACCTAAGAACTTTTTTTGAATTAATGTTGATACATTAAGAACTACAAGTGTAGGGGGTAAAATTTTTAAAACTTCAATTGAGTTTGTCAGGCTTTGACAGCATCTTTACCTTAAAACATCTTCTACGGTAGCTAAGTACCAAGATTTATGTCACTTCATCTGAGATATGTGTGAGTCAGTGCTCTCATTTCAAGAATACTTAACTGTTTATTTATTTTTGAACACAGTTTTGCTTTTACAGAAGGTGAAATTTAGTTAAATTCAAGCACTACCTTTTTTCTCACTCAGTGCCTAACAAGTTAACTTGTATGGAGCCATTACTATCTGCCAACACTTCTAAACCTGTGACTTGAAACATAGTCTTCACAGTAACTGATAAGATAACTACTTTGATTTTCCAAATTTATCAAGAGGAAACTGACATTCAAAGAGATGAATGAACTTGCTTACTGTCTCACAGATGGGAAGTAGAAGACAAAATCTTACCAATGATTAAAAAATAATAATAATCAAAATCATTGTTCACGATTACATAATTTTGTCTACATTTTCTACTCTCAGTAATTCCAATATTGATTATCAACTTTCCTCTGCGTCTTTCTAACCCTAATTTACCTTCAAATGTTTGACAGAGCTCCAAGCTGTTTAGCATTTGATAAGAAGGATCATGATGTATCTCATAACTGCCATGTCATGTTCTGTATATTGTATTAAGCAGATACAAATGTTATTGGGGATACAGTTGTCAGATCTGTAGTTAGGCTAAATCAGAAAATTTCCCACCCCATTTTCAAGTAACAAATCCCTGTGGCCATTAGTGTTGGCTGGTGCACAGCTGAGGATACATAACTGTGTGGAGAGTGGTTCCAGGGATTATTGCTTTTCTGAGGGTCAACCACAAGTTTCATAAAACAAATTTATGTTCATATTACAAGATTTTTATAAGCTGAAATGCATGTCTCTAGTCCTTTGTGACTTTTATGTACCCAGGGAGAAATAGGCTTCAAAATAATACTAATAATATTCTTCAGCAATTCTATTTCTAGCATCTTGATAATATGACATTAATTATAAGGAAAGTTATTCCATGTTTCACAGAATTGTTGGCTCTATATAAAATGTTTTATTAATAGTTTTCCTTCTCATCTGAAGTTGAAATTCTTTTCTGTGTCTGAATAAATATGGTGGTTCATTGTCTTTCCTCTCTATCCACTCTATCAATTTGTACACATAATAATTTTTATTATCCTCCTGTTACTTCTTTTTGAGAAATTTTATGATAGAATAAAGGCTGTGGTTTTAAGAACCTGGAAAATTCAATCATATCCCCAAATATACAACTTTTCTGTTTGCTCATGACACTTTTATATAGCCTAGCAAGTAGCAAAAATAATTTTGACTTCTGCTGCTCTTTACTGTAGTTACTACATAATTATTTTAATTATTTTGTGATTTATGTCACATCTACTCCCAAAATGGGATTTTAGTCTTCTTGTATTACATTGTGAAGAGGAATGATTAAAAAAAATAGCAAGGGTATAAAATATGCAAATGAGGAACAAATTAGAAGCTATAAAATGCTTTTGCAGCTTCAAACTCCACCAAGTTTTCTCAGAACTTTCTAGTAACAGAGGCAAAACAAGGTTCTGTATTGCATTTCTTGCAATAACAAAACAATAACCACTTCTTGCAAAAAACAAAATAAACACATACCCATCTTTTAAAAGAATCTACTTCGAAAGGTGAATTCATTTATTTTTCAATCTTTTTTTTTTTTTTTACATTGCTGAGGGGAGCAGCGGGTGCGGCAGGAGAGGCTGCACGCCATGTGGGACCCTCGACCAGCGGCCGGGGATCAAACCAGCACTGCAAAGGCTGCGGGCAGCTTCGCATCCCAGCGTTCAATCGCTGCATCACCGGGGAGGCCCTATTTTTCAATCTTAACTAAGAACCACTTCTTAGCTTAAAATACATAATTTTAAAAGTAAAAGAATTTGAGGGAGAATAGTTACTGAAATTTAAAAAAAAACATTAAAAATATTACTAAGAATTCAACTTTATAGATAACATCAATTCCTATTTTTTGGTCAATAACAAAAAAATGATAAAAATAGAACTTCTGTTAAAATATAAACTGTAGAGAACAAAGCAGACATTTAATAAGATAATAATTACACTAAACATCACCTTCAGTCTGACAATATTTCAAAGGAAACATGACAATGCATTTCTCATTCAATACTTGAGACTTTGGAAAAACTTTGAGACCTCCTGAGTTTTTTTTTTTTCAGATCTATAAAACTGATTTGCCAAATACAAAAGATATTTGGATCTCTTATATCCCATATTATGTGGACAAGTATCTGTAATTTAATTAACATTCAAGGACAAACATATTAAATATTTAGAAGCATATCTTCTGTGCACCTGTGACTATGCAGGTGCCTCTTTTTCTTTCTTTTTTTGGCAATGCACCTGTTATTTAAAAAATGAATAAAAAGCTTTTTCTATACGTGCTATAGCTTTGCGTGACATTTGAGAGACAAATAAAATCCTTTAAAACTAGTTAATAAACATTCTTTTAAAAAAATTAAATAAGTTCAATTACTTTCCTTTTCTAAACAAATCTGAATATTTATAGTGCATTCCCTTAATTTTCTCTGTAATTACAATGATAGGCTGCAGCTTTGAAATAGCAATAATCATTATAACATATATATGTACAAATATTTGCACTTTTAATAAGTTGCAATAGATTTATAAATTTTTTTTTTTTTTTTTTTATATAGAGGCATGTTTTCTTTCTTTCTTTCTTTATTTGTTTGTTTTTTTTGTTTATACATGCACTGGGTACAGTCAGAAGCGCGGGAGGGTGAGAGAATTCACCAGAGCCAGAGCAGAGAACAGAGCAGGCAGAAGGACCGAAGTACACTGCTGAGGGGAGCAGCGGGCGGCAGGAGAGGTCTGCGCGCCATGTGGGACCCTCCTCCGGTGGCCGGGGAGCAGCCGGGGATCGAACCGGCGCCGCAGAGGCCGCAGGCAGCTTTGCAACCCAGCGCTCAACCGCTGCGCCACCGGGGAGGCCCAGATTTATAAATTTTTAAATGGTTAAAGGAAATCTGTTGCAGTGTTTACTGGCTTCATAAATAAATCTCACTAAATAATATCACCTTACCACTCCCTAGCCTATATATAAACATTCTAACCTCTCTTTAGAGCAAACATAGTTAAAAAAAAAAAAAAAAAAAAACAGCAAACCTAATAAAGAAAAAAAAAAAATCCAAGGCTCAGGAAAACACACATTCTTGAGTGAAATTAATTCAGAATTTTTTTTTAAAGATTTATTTGTCCATACAAGAGCTGGGATACAGGCCAGAGATGCAGAGATGGGGGTTGGGGGGGTGTTGAGAAGATTCACCAGAGACAGAGTGGGGAGCAGCAGAGACAGAGTGGGGAGCAGAAGAGGCAGACTGACTGAAATACACTGCTGAGAGGAGCAGCAGGGGCACCATAGGAGAGGTCTGCTGTGCTATGTGGGTTGCTCCCTGGCTGGCCAGGGATTGAACTCGTGCTGCAGAGGCTGCAGATTGCTTCATAGTGCTGTGCTTAACCCCTTGCACCACCAGGGAGGCCCTAATTCTGAAATTTTTCAAGGTTTTTGTACCTTTTAGAGATTTGAGTGAGTATACTTGGATTCTAGAAAATGAACACAAAAGACATTATTAACAGCTATTTAATACACCTTTACATTCAATCCAGCATTGCTCAGTTGGTAATTTCTTTCCTTAGAATATATCCTCCAGTAACTCATACTGACAAGCCTGACTGTGTTTCCAGGAACCTGACGGGTATTAGTCTCTGTGCACTGCAGCTGAACAAAATTCTGGCCTGGGTTTCAACTAAGGCATTCAGGACTGTAAATGTTTCCCAGGGGGCCCCTATGTGAAAGTCTGGGTTCATGCCCAACACTCAGCCTGACTCAAGGTGCTGCTCTCCAGACCTCCAGTTTTCTAACTGCTTCTTTCTCAAGTAATGGCTATGTTTCTGATCTACAGAGATTTTTGTTCAATTTTTGTTAGTGTTGATATTGGTTTGTAAATTTTCTTTTATATTTCTAACAGGTCACTGTGCTAGGAATAGAAAGGAATATTTTCAGCCTGTGCTTAGTGTATTATTTTAAACCAGAAGCCAACATTCTGATTCTATAAGCCACATAAAACAGACAGAAATTTGTGTAGTGTAATGATTACTCAATAGTAACTACTAGGAGATAAAGCTTGTTTAGCTGGCAACCTTAGAGTGATTTTTGTTTTAACTTTTTCAATAAGTAACATACTCATACTGTTCATAAAGCAAAAGTAGACTTTCCTTAAAAGTCTTATACTTTGGCCTGTATTAGCATGCTTGTAGCTATAGTGGGATTTGTTATAAGGTGACCAAAATGGACAACTGTAGTGGGAAAATTCATGTCAGAATCTTTCAGTGAAAGATTTGAGGCTTTCTGAGTTTCAGGTCTATAAAACTGATTTTGCCAAATACAAGAGATATTTGGATCTTTTATGTCCCCTATTATGTGGACCAAGTATCTGTAATTTAATTAATATTCAAAGACAAACATACTAAACATCACAAGGACTTTCCATTATCCTGTATTAATTCTGGGAACTAAATTAGAGCAGAAATGGATAAATATTTATTTAACTCTTTTGTTTTTAGTATGGGATCTGTATGGACTGAACTGTGCCCTCTCAAAATTCATTAGCTGAATTCTTAACGCTCAAAGTGACTGTATTTGGAGACAAGACCTAACAAAGGTGAAATGAGATTAAATCCAAAAGCACTAGTGTCTTTGTACCATGAGGAAGAGACAGTACAAAACTCTTTTTTTCTTGTTCCTTTCACAGGAAAGGCCACAGTAAGGATACAGAAGGCAGCCAGCTACAAATCAGGAAGTGAGGACAAACCAGAAACCAACCCCAGGAGGACCATATTCAAGTTTCCATGCGGGACTGTGAGAAAATAGGTTTTTGATGGTCAAACCATATAGCATTTTGTTATGGCAACTTAAACCTACAAATACAGTATATCCACTCTATTAACCCTTTCTTCTCCCTCTCCAGAGACTCACCCAGTCTTTTCCTTGATTGAAAAGTAGGAGAGAACTTGCCTGGCATCATGGAGTGGGTAATGGCTCTGGAATTCCAACTTTCTTTATTTTTAAAGATTTATTAATTTTATGCATGCAAGAACTGGGGTGTGGGGGGTGGTGAGAGGATTTGCCAGAGACAAAGTAGTGAACAGAACAGGCAGACTGACTGAAATACACTGCTGAGGGGATCAGCAGGCTAGTCAGGAAAGGTCTGCTGTGCCATGTGGGTAGCTCCTTGGCTGGGGATAGAACTTGTGCTGCAGTGGCTACAAGTAGCTTCATAGTGCTGAGACTTAACCCCTTGTGCCACCAGGGAGGCCCCCCAACTGCACTTTAAACTGAAACTTTCAACCAATCTCTCTGATTCTATCCTATATTCATTTCTACTTCAGGAGGTGATTATTTTGAGTGTTTCCCAAGCCTTTGAAGGATTTGCAATGTAAAGTGAGGGACTTTCCATTTTTCAAAATTGTAAGCTTAAGAATTACTTTTTTTTTTTTTTAATGAAGGCAGTTACATTGTTCACCTGCTATTCAACTCGCTTCTTCTTTACTATTCTATTTGTCCTTTGAGGTTCACACTTCTAAATTTTTTTCTTGTTCCAGTAAGAATTATTCAGTGATAGCGATCCCAAGGGGAAAAGTACTAAATTTCATGTGTTCAGAATCCATCATTTCCTGGAAATTGTCTCTTTAGAAGCACTAACCCCAACAATTAATTTTATTTTCTTTGTATTATATGATTATGCATTGATATTAATTTTACATGACTATGTATGGGAGTCCATGAGTAAAAAGAGGGTGAGGATTCTCATTCATTATCATATCTTCAGTGACCACCATAAATCCTGACATAAAGCAGAGGATCAAACATTTTGAATAAAAATTATATTCCCCAAATTTTAATAATTTGCCAATTGCCATAATTTTTTCTGTAAGTTCTAGTTCTCCCACTCTCATTTCAGTTCCCACTGAGCTCAAATTGACTTTGATTATTAGCCAAGACATAATTGGGGTGAAGCAATAAGTATAATTTTTTAAACTTGCCAATAAGTAAATGAAGCTTGAAAAGGTATTTTGACAATTGGGGTTTTCCTACGACATCATACTTCCAAGAAACACTATTTCAATTGGTTAAATATCATTATGTTTCTTCAATACTCTAAATTTTGTATGAAATTTCAGAGAATTCTGAATATTCAATGTGCTTTTTTTTTTTTTTTACAAAATATTAATACATTTACATCTAAAACTACTTGAATACCTTCCAAGAGTATATGTAACTAACTTTAGGAAACACTTGTAGACCAAAAACAGTATCAACTATAGTATTTTTCACTCAGTCTAACTTTAAATTGATCATGAATTTAACTGAAAATCACCAACACAAAACTGGTCTTTTAAATCCTTAGCATGTGCAGTTCAGTCTTTAAATTGATTTTTATGAAATGTGTTTAATTGTAAATAAATACATGTATTTTTCATTGAAAAGTAAATATCAGTCTTAAAATATATAAGAAAAACTTATATTTTCTATGTTTCCCAAATAACACAGTTCTGTTCATTATGGCAAACAGGTTTGAATAAAAGATATGCTTACTGTTGTTAGCTGTAATGGGTTAAAATAGAAAACCGGCATGTTCTTCAATAACATTTCAATTTATAGTCTATATTTAAAATAAAATGTAAATTTACAGTTGCTTTCATTTTGTACTTACCTACAATGTCAGTCATAAGACCTGCAATAGTCTCATCTCCTGTAATCCAAGGGCGTTTCCCTCTGTCATGACCATATGCGCCCCTGAAATGAAAAGGGACATAATCATGCTTAGTTTGTGTGTATGAGTGAGTGTGTGTGCATCCATGTGTGTGTGATTGTTTCAATATTACCATTAGTGACTGCACATTCCTTAGTAAGTCCTTGTAGTGTTTTAGTTATTGCTTAAAAATATGCCTTTATTAATTTTTTTAGATTTATTTTTATTTATTTATGCATACAAGAACTGGGGGTGAAAGCCAGAGGTGTGGATGGTGAGAGGATTCATCAGAGACAGAGTGGGGAGCAGAACAGGCAGATACACTGAAATACACTGCTGAGGGGAGCAGCAGGTGAGAGAGGAGAAGGCTGCTGCTCCATGTGGGTAGCTCCCTGGCCAGAGATTGAATTTAGCCACAGTGTTGATAACGATAGTACTAAACCCCTGTGCCACCAAGGAGGCCTCCTTAAAAATAAGCCTTGTTAAAGCCAATACTTGAGGACTTCTTAAAGTATATTTGAGGGTTCTATTCTTCAACTTAGCATTTTTAATTTTTTTTTTACTTTATTGGGGAGTTAGGGAAGATTATCCATATACTATTCTTGATTTTTCTGGAGTTTCAGGTGATTTTTTTTCTGTTTTGAAATTTTCAGTACTATTTGAACACTCTATTTGTTCAACTGTAGCACATAATAGTACCTTTAACAAAACTTACCTACATTTTTTGAGGCTAGATACTTAAATGATTATAAATTGAATTTTAAAATAGAACTGCAATCTGTTAATTAAATAGCTGCATATGAAAGACAGTATACATGTGATGACACTTTAAGTAGATAATGAAACTTGGCTATAATCAAAGCCAATGCTACATCTTGACATATTTTACAGGAATTTCATCTATCATATTTCAACTCAATTTTAGTATTCTGATATTACAGTAGGCATAACAGAAAAACACCAAATCCACAGAGAAATATTAATGCTTAAGTTATATCAAATAAGGAAGGCAAGTATATTTGAAAAATACAGAAAAATTCAAATAAAGAATCAAAGGGGAAATGATGTTGTGTGTTGTTACAAACTTGTAACATGAAACTCTGAATTAGGTTGTTCTTTGTTTTTTAAGAATCCAAACATTGTAAACTTGGAAAGAAAGGAATATACATGTGCTTTCTGTATTAGGCAAACTTGTTATTTTTTCCCCAATGACAATATAACTGACATTTAACATTGTGTTAGATTCAGTTACTAAACATAATGTCTCAATGCAAAATGATCAGCATAAGTCTAGCTAACAGTCATTATCACACAGAGTCATAACTTTTTTCTTGGGATGAAAACTTTAAATTTACTCTCTTAGTGGTTTTCAAATATAAAGCACAGTATTAATTATAGTCACCTTACTAAACATTATTTCCCAAGACTTAGTTCTTTTACAACTGAAAGTTTGTGCCTTTTGACCAATTTATTCATTTTGCCCATCTTTCAAGCCTTGCAAACCTGGGTTTGAATCTGCTCTGAAATTCAGTAAGTTGGTAGTGGTGAGCAAGTAACCTGCTCTGAGAGGTGAAGGGTATTGAGCAGAATATACTACCCAAAAGTATGCTGCTGTATGATGTTGACTGTCTCAAGCTACAGGCACTTGAAAAACAGCAAATACAGGGAGAGGCTTTCACTGAACTCCTCTGTTTGCCTAAAGACAGAAGGTCCAAAAGAAGTTAATTGAAGACAATTGTGATAAATCCCCTTCCAAGTATTTTCATCAACCAAGAGTCAGATTGATTTTTGTCACAGGAAAGGAGATACACTTTGTCATAAACTATCATATCTCCCATGTATTCTTCTAAAAAACCATTCATTTTTTTTCTGAAAATCTTGTCATTCTTCCCTAAGCGGTCTACTATCCTTTCACATTTAAGATGGCATTTAATCCTGAATTCTAAGTCACCTCGGCCCGGTACTCATTTTTCCCTGGGTATCTCCTATGTATATATGAGGTATTTCATGTTAACATACTTATATTTGTTTCTCTCTCTTTTTTTTTTAAAGATTTATTTATTTATACAAGCACTAGATACATTCAGAAGTGCGGGAGGGTGAGAGAATTCACCAGAGCCAGAGGGGGGAACAGAACAGGCAGACTGATGAAATACACTGCTGAGGGGAGCAGCGGGCGAGACAGGAGAGGTCTGTGTGCCATGTGGGACCCTCGCCGGCGGCCGGGGATCGAACTGGTGCTGCAGAGGCTGTGGGCAGCTTCACAGCCCAGCACTCAACCATTGCACCACCAGGGAGGCCCTGTTTTTCTATTGTTAATCTGTTTTTCTTTTTATAGAGGTTTCAGAGAAGAACTATGCAGAAGAGATAAAAATTATGTTTCCTTCCCTACAGAGCAGTGGGCAAACTGGAGTCATAGAATCCTGTTTGTTTGCCTTTACTGATTTTCCAGATGTGAATACCTCCACTGGACCTCATTTATTGCTGTCAATAAAAATCTTGAATATTTAACAATTGGTTTTTATTACCCCATAAGAACCTGTTCCAGGTCATTGTTGGTTATCTGACTACTGTCAGACATATTATGACTGTTCTGGGACTCCTCACGCTCTGATTTCTCCAGGGCACACCCCAACCCCTGTACCTCTGGCGTACACCTCAGTTCTTGCATGCATAAATAAAATAAAAATACATCTTATAAATAAAGGTCTCATGCATTAAGGATATGTCTTTATGCAGTGGATGGCAGAATCAATTTGGAGCATGCAGGATTGGGGGACTAGGGTGTCCCTCAGTCTGCCAGTTAACAGATTCAAACTTGTGATTGATGGAAAGTTCTCACAGCATAAAATCTATAGGACTACTTCCGGGGTTCAAATCCTCTTTAATTATCTAATAAACTTTTTCTAACCACAATTCAGACTTTTATTTTAGTCAACATACTTTTACTAGATGCTTTGGACCTAATTTCTCACTTACGTAAAAGAAAATGTTTAACAATATGTAATTTCTAGGATTGCTATGAAATATAAATAGCACATATAAGAGTGTGGTCCCTAGCACCCCTTGTCTGAATCTTCTTTCCTAATGAAAATATAAAGTGGAACTCCCTTTGCTGAGGGGAAAGGATGCCCTGAGCAAACTCCACAAACAGGTTTTATGGGCTCCACCCCCACTCCAGACCAAAGATATACAAAGCACCAAAGACTACAAATCCCATAATGTCATCTTTGCTGAAGGGAGGATTACTGGGAACTGAGGGTGGAGTTAAGCAGCCAGGTTGGATGTCTAAGCAGACATGTGGGCCTTGGGGGTCTAGGCTTTTTGCCAGCTTTCAGTGCACTATTGGAGTTCTAACTCAGTGGAACTGGTAGGACACATTCACCAATTTATCTCTCTTTCTCCCTGAGTTACTTATTTCTTCATTTCCCCTTCTTTTGTAAATACACCCTTTATTGCCCTTTTTGTGTGTACCTGCAGTTGAGTCTTATTATAAGTCCCTTTTAGCAAACAGGTGAGAATCCACAGTCAGACAACCCATTTCATGTCAGGGTTGCCCTATAGCACCTTCATCAGGATATGGCTTATAACACAGTTTTCAAACTAATATTGCAATTGTTATATAAGCTGAGATGAAGGAAGACTCTTTGTGGATAAACATAGATTGAAAGAACTAACAAGGAAGGAAGGGCAATTGTTAGCTATTATTATTCATATTATTATTAAATGGCCTGCAGCTCCTCTCTTTCTTGACTTCCAATATAAATGCTAAAGACAAAAATCATTATCATTAAGTGATAGTTACAGGCAGATACTTGAATCTTTTTTATTTTAATCACATAGAGTTCCATGGCCTTAGCTGATAGCACAATGCATCTTATTACATTTAGGTAGTAAAATTCTATGTTCTGCCTCAGAGAATTTATATCTCACAATACTATGCCACCTACTTCTCACTCTGGTAGACACCATGGTAATAATCTTTACAGATACATTTTTTTTTCCCCTGCAATGGTTTTTGGCTCTTCTTTCCTTTAAAATATCACAGAGTCTGATTCTTCATTTTGTCAGTCTATTAATCTGGGACAGTGAAATGTATTTAGAAAGTGCTACCTGAATAAACTCAAAGTAAAGTGGCCAGTCATTAGAAAGAATAGATGCTGATTACAGGGCAGTTAAAAACATATATAACAGAGTTAAAAAAAAAATCAGTTATTCAAAACTACTTAAAATAGTTGCAACATAGTCTTTTACAAATGCAAGCAAAGAAAAGAGAGCATGGGAAATTAAAATCACCACCCTGGCATAAATCATCGCCATGAGGGGGGCGTTCTCTGAGATGTCTTGGGAGCATTCTTTACTCACAAAATTAAATTTCATGATATAAAATCTAATTAGGATGTGTGAACATTAATATTCAGAATACAGCTTAAATGTGGTTAGGAGGCTAGAAAGAGCAGCCATTCAAGCGCAAATCAGCAAACTAGAGGGTCCCCGGCATGTTTTGTGCCCTCCTGGGAAAGTGATGCTGTTTCCACCAACAGCAGCACTGAGGGTAAGGTCCTATGTAGGTCATTCAGGAAGTTGTTACAGTCAGAATCAGGCAAGTACAAGTGGGTTTTCTATGAATGCACTCTCCAATCAGCCCTCAAATTTGTTATTTCCAAATCAACCCCATTCTGTTATTGGAATAACTGATTGTTGTAGCTGAGATCAACACAATTCAAAAGAAATATGGATCCCCTTTGAAATAGAACTATAACCATCCTACAGAATGAAAAAGTGGTCATGCTTTATAGCCCACTCCTCGAGATAAGTAAATGTATGATACATCATAGTTGCTCTTAACGATATCACTTTTTTTTTTTTTCTGGGACCAAACTGATGACTGTCCAACACAAGCCAGGAAAATCTTTATAACATGGGACACTTTGTACCATTTATTTATTAATACTGAAGGATGGCATAACATGCCACACCAAAGTTCCCCTTTCAGGACCTCCCTGGTGGCACAGGGGTTAAAATCTCAGCCACTGAGGCATGT